TGTGTTATATGCCTTGCTTAACACACATTCATTATATCCTACTTGCTCATGCTCTTATACTATTCTAAACCATGCAAAATAAAAGACAGGATAGAAAAACAAAGGATAGGGAGTGGACTGCTGCTGTATGTCTCTCTATGTATAAAAAATATTATGCACAGGCTTATCTCAAAGAACTGTCTCCACAGAGGTTACTTAGTGCAGGATTTGTTACTAAAGTCATGCACTAATGTAGAAATATCCCACTATTGTCAACAGAATGTGAAGAGTGATCATCACTGGGGCAGTTAACTCTTTGCGCACACACACACACACTGAAGCAGCCACCATGTATTTTAACATAAACTTTCACAGAATCTGCTGTTGCAATTCTGACCTTTTAAAAGCAATGTTTGTATGACTCACTGCCACACCAAAGCAGCAATGTAAAAGAGTTTACCATACAGTAGCTTTTGTTAAAGAGGCAAATGGTTAATTCATTTCTGATTAGAGTATTAAGAGATTCAGCTTAACAATTTTTAAATATTGTTTTAATGAGTGAAAAGGAAAATGGTGCAAAATATTGAGAGAAGCAGGGTTTTACCTATTTATTGCCCTCAAATACATCATTTTGGTTCTCATTTTCAATTGAAATGCCTACATCAATGACAGCAATAATATGCAAACATAATTGATACAAAAGCAAAACCTTGCACTTTAATCCAGTGCTTTTGCAGTGACGCCTACAAGTTAATGCAGATGAGTGAATGTAGTTCTTCTTCAATTCATTAGTTACTGTATGTCCACCTACACAATCATAAAACAAACCTAGATTTCTGAAAACTGTACTTAATACAATGCAGTTCCTTTAACTGCTTTAATTGCACATTAAGGGGTAAAATGTTATTAGACCATATTGTAGCTTTTAACTAGGGAAACATTTTTTTGAGGAAAAGTAGACTTTTAACACTACGCTTTTAGATACATTTTTCCATGTTTTGGCTAATAATTCACAGAAATGGAACACATATAATATTTACCTAAAATGTAAAAGTTTATGCTTTTTTGTATCTTGTTTGTTGAAGAGTTCTTAAAGTAGAACTATGGGCAAAATAAAAAACAGCATACTGTATATAATATAGTCTGCCACTAGCATTAACACAGCAGTTATTATTTTTCTGAGTTCTTACCTCCTCCCCCATAACAATAGTAATAAAAAAAACAAATAAAAATAACACATATAAAAACATTAATAAAATTGACCCCAAACCATTATAGTTTCCTCTTAAACAGAATGATAAATGAAAGTCTATTTAAAGCCAAAACAAAATTATAGTGTCTGTATTCGTTTTTTTTCAGGCTTTTTTTCTTTATTTTCACCTAATAATCCAGCACGTTAGTCTGTTATTTTTCAACTTCCTTTAACAAACAAAGAGCCTTGAGACAAACCATTTAACACTGACAGTGGTGCTTACAATGGTCAGCTTTTATTCATTTTTATGTAAAACCTTTGTCTCAAAAGGAAAAAAAATGGTTTTTGTAACTGCTTAAAATGTGTTAGCTGGATTTTGGCTTTAATTTGTTAGTTACATCCATCTAAATATGCTAGTGCATCTAACATGACTGTCTCTACAGGTAGACAATCCTGGTGCCCGAAGGTGGCTCCATTGTTCTTCAACAGTTTTGAGCCACCTGAAGGCAGGAAGTGTATTAGGGGCCAGATCACCAGGTAGAAATAAACAAGCCTTAAAAAAAGAAAACTGATGCAGCCACTTCATGTAAGGATTGGTAAGGTGCAATATATAACATTTTTGTTTTTTGGGTTTAGATATGTTTGAAGGATTTTTATTATGGATAACTGATTCTTTGTTCACTTCAAACATCTTACATGATATAGATAATCTTAAAAGAAAATGGGTCCTTAGGGCAAATTCTTACTCCATTCAGTAACTATTTACTTAGCAACAATTTTAGCATTTTAGTTGTTGATTATAGTAAGTGTAATACTGCATTCGATGCATGCAAACATTACTTAATAAAAGCAGAAAGGTTGAAGTTTAGTGATGCCCTTTATTGGGTAGTAAGATTTGTGTATCAGACATTAAAGTGCATTTCCACTTTCGCAGCCAAATTGGGATAACACCTGTTAATATTTGCTCCTCCTCACATCGTATAAGCTAAAAAAATATGTAAAAAATGCTTCTTGACGTTTAAATAGTTTTTACTTGAGTTAAGGTTTCTTGGCTTCTCAAGGCTTAAAATTTATATTTGCTTCTCCTTTGAAAAGTTAGGAGGGGGTTTGAGGGGTGAGGGGGTTAAAATATTAAAAGCCTGGCTTCTGCATTGTATGTCAATGAACTTAATGAGAGAAGCACAATCCACACATGTCAGTCCTAAGGCTTTCGATAAGGACAGATCACTGTGAAGGTGCTCAGAAAAACCTGGATTCTGACCATACTGCCTGCAGCAACAAATCATCTAAAAGGTAAGACATTTTGTAACTTTTGGTATGCTATGTGAATAGGAACACATAACAAACATATAGTGAGCTTTTCTCAAATTTGACGTCAAAAGTGGAAATACACTTTATGGTTTTTCAAAAAGCTTTTTAGCCAAAGCTTTCTTCCAGTTTTGAATAGAGTATGAAAGGGAAAAACCTGTTTATTTTTGCTGTCTTTGTCCCACTAGGGAGATTTCCCTTTACTTTCTGTCTTGGAGAAGCACCAGGAAGTGAAAGAGAATCAAAGGGGAATCCCCATTTCAGACATTTGCCACCAGAAAATCTAGAAGATTTCCAATTATTTATTGCTCTGATTACAACTATAACAAGTAGGATTTCCCCTCGCTTTATGTCTCAGTGACAATGGTCACCAGGAGGGGTGAATCTCCCTGGCTTACACTTTAAGGTATCCAATAAAGGGTACCATTTATACTCCAAAGTTCCTGCATTTATTGATGACTAAGTTACTACAGCACTCTGCCATTGCATTTTTATTTACTGTAACACTGGGAGGATAAAAGCCCAATTGAACTCTCAGTTTATTTCAGCTTAATACAATTGAGGTGCATCAGAACAAAAGGTGTTAAATATCTTACATGCTATTTTGTTTCTAAAGCAGCAGTAGACTGAGAGAAAAAAAGCCTGATAAATGTCAGCAGCTGCAGAGAGGGACCCTTGCTCTCTGGGTGGAAGCAGTGGTCTCTTTATAGAGGCCACCCACACCTGCTGATGAGTCAGAGCTTGAGCTCTGCAATGACAATGTTGGAAAGTTCGGACTCAGTAGGGGGCATGTTGGACCTCTGCAGAAAGATCACTGCTTCCCCATAGAAAGCAACTGCACTTTATATTTTGCATTTTTCTAATAGTTACAGTGGAGTATGTACAATCTAATAAACCAAAGACAGCTGAAGGTCAAAGATATATTTAAGCTAATTTCACACAGTATTTCAAAGTCAATATCACACAGTTTTTCAGCAAAACATGTTAGACTGTCTACAATGTCATGCATCAATACACTAAGAATTGATCAAAAACAGACTCATACATTTCTGTAGCGAATGCAACTTTTCATTATTGTGCTTACTCATCAATCTCATACGTAATCAATAAATGAATTATTTCAACTCAACATAAAAAGCTAAGCTCTATAAAACAATCTACAAACAAATGTTGTAATATTACATTTCGTAACCATAACAATACACTGCAGACACTTTTTTAGGCATTAAATCAAGAATTATCAGAAACATTTATTACTTGATATGTGCAATATTATCAGCACCAAAAAGGCAATGCAACTGAACTTAAAGTGAAACTTGGCTATAACAATGAATATCCTGGAATTTTAAAAATAATTTCACTATTTCATATATGCATATTCTAAAATAGTTTGTATTTTCATTTTTTATTATTTCTTAGAATATTCAAGTAAAATGCCAGCTTTTCTTTCTTATTGGGAAATGTTTTAATTTACAATATTGTAACTCTGATATTTCTTTTTCGTTAGAATCTGGCTAAATGTATGCTGTATATATTTTGACATGCTCATTCATAGACATGAAAAACACTCTCCATATGGCTATTCCAGACCAATCTTCCTGTCCATAAGCAGCCTCAGACCATACTAGTCAATAGATCTCTGAGAAAGCAATCAAGGCAGATAGAATAACTGATTGCCTTTGTTTCCCCTTTAAATATCTGTCACATTCTGCATTTTATGGGCTGCACCCCCACCCCCCCCACATAACCATTAACAGAAGTTCACATGTGACACACGTGTTACTAGGGGATTAAAAATACAAATGTAATTTAGCCTTAGCCAGTGTGATCATGAAAACAAGGTAATTGTGTATGTGATTCTTTAAAATGCTTTTATTATTGTCTATATTTGCAGTCATGTAAGCAGATAGATAGCTTATTTGTTTAAAAAAACACACACTTTAATTAGTATAAAAATTCTGGAAAGTTCCTACTTTACTATAGTTAATGGATTTACAAGGCCATCATTAGTGATTTAAAAAAGCTATTTAAAGGGTGATTCCACTTACCCAGGCAAATTTTGGAAAATGGAATTACCGCCACCAATCTGCCCCCTTTCCCCCGCCATTGCTCTTACCTTCAACCAAACGCTCCTTCCCCTCCATGACTGCCAGTGAACTATCCATACTCTGTACACAGCAGCACAGCCCTGCGCTCAATATTTCAAATTTTGCTTACACATGAGAAGAACTCATTGGTCAGAGCAGTCACCTGACCGTGCTGACCAAAGAGAAGTGCTTCTGACCGCACTGACCAATAAGTGCTTGTCAATTGTATGCGGAATTTAAAATACCAATAAAGGGTTGCGCTGCTGTGTACGCAGTAAGTATAGTACACGGGCAGCCACAGAGGGGGAAGAGTCAAAGGTAAAAGCAGCACCAGGGGAAGAGGGGCAGATTGGCAGCATTAATTTCATTTTGACAAATTCACCTGGGAAAGCATTTTCAGTTTAGAAAAATTGTGTTTCTCCAAACTAGTAATATAAAATACTATTCCAAAATGACATTTTAAAAGACATTTTAAATACATAAATGGCTTTCAGTGCAAGCATCACCAAACGTCTACAGTTATGTACAACACTGCACCCTTCATAACTAAGATTTCCTTTTTTACATTAATTTCACTATCTTATTACAGTAATCTATGATAGTGCACACTCTTTTATCATTATTTGCATATTTCAAGATCTTAATTTCTGTATACGTTCGAAAAAAGTAATTGTAATCCACACTACAAAAATACAATAGTATTAATAATATAAAGGCATGGTTATGTAGAATATGCCCAGAAGATATGTCCAAAGGTAATCATGGCTTTTTCTCCAGGTAGCAGAAAGACATTAAAGTGGATTATCCTCTTTGGTTTCAAAGTTTCAAATGAAATACAACAGCAGCTCAAACATTGGTTCCTTAGCTATTTCCTCTTCTACCAGACTCTACATGAATTATTTCCGCGGTTCATAAATGTGTTTTCTTGACAATTGAAGGCTTTATGAAATTCTTCAAAATTACTCATTGCACCAATTACTCTGGAGAACAAAAAATACAAGTTTTTGTCAGCATTGAATTGTCTTTGGATTATATACAATATTTTTTTTTTCATGACAACTGGCAAATACAGGCAGTCCCCAAGTTACGAACAAGATAGGGACTGTAGGTTTGTTCTTAAGTTGAGTTTGTATGTAAGTTGGAACAGATACATTTTTTAAGTGTATCTCCAGCCAAAAATGTTTTCGTTTTGGATAGCATAGGGAAGGGTTAACCCCCTGTAAAGTTTGTTTTGCTGTGTGTGCCCCTGTTCAGAAGATTTCACCTCACTTTCTGTTCCTGTGACAATTGGATTTTTAAAATTATTGGTTGTCGTAGAAACAAGGATTGCTGATAAAGCTTCAGTGGAGACACCTTTTTTCCCATGATCATTCTTACAGGAGTGAATTTCCCTTCTTAGGGGTAAATTTCTTTTCACTTCCTGTTGTCTCAAGGACAGGAAGTGAGATTAAATCTTTCTGATGAGGATACAGACAGCAGTAAAAACCTCACAGTGACTCGGAAGAAGAGGTGGGCACCCCTCGTCTGCACGTCTAACAAGAGCCAACTTCCTGTAATGTTTGTACAGTACTACAAACCAGACCCAAAAAGGCGGGCACTCCTCGTCAGCACGAGCGCGGTAGCATTACAATTACCCCTGCTGTACAGTAATACCCTTCGTTTGTAAGTAGGAGTCGTATCTAAGTCGGATGTATGTAACTTGGTTACTGCCTGTATCCAAAATTTGTATTAATCTTACATACAGTATTTTCAGATACACCTGTCACACAAAAAATCTTACAGGATATCTAGCTGCTCATAATTTTTTCAGTACTTACCACAAGCACTGCTGCCACCCTAAAACCTTGGCCACCCTAAAGAGTGAGCTTAGACAAGTACTGACTAAAGTGTTAAAGGTTGGCCTGTTCAATCCCAGTTGCTGAGCTTCCCAGTTGGCTGTGCATCATATTTATGAGGAAGTGTCCAGGCTGGCTGATCAGTGAGCTTAAGTTTCAGGAGACCCATGGTGGCACTTTTATAAGCATCACCAGATAAGTGCACTTCAGCCATGTGCTCAGATGAACTTTTTTTGCATGTACATAGACAAAAATTTACAAAAACACCAAAAAAGGTTAAAAGAAAAACAAAAATCAGACTCAGTAGGCCACTTTTCTGCCATTACTCTTCTTTAATTACCATTAAACACTTTATACATAATAAAGTAGCACACTTTGACAATAAATGTATTTATTTTTATATTGTTTGCATTACAGCTGAACTCCAGGCAGATATAAAATATACAAATGAAAGCCTTCCCCCCACCACTGAGCATTCCATTCCCTGACAGCACAGGAACCAATTCCACCTCCCCCACCTGGGACGACATTGACACAGGCAGCAATTTGCCCAGGGATAGCCCTGCGCCTGCCCTTCCAGAAAGAGCTGTACAAACCTCATAACCAGATCGACAGAAATACAAATGCTTTGGCAGGTAAAACAACTCCCTCATATACATGTTATCTGTGTGTTTAGCAGTTTTTTCGGGAATTTAAACACTATGGGGGTGATTTACTAACCTAAACACACGCACACACTAGGTGCGTGTGATTTTTACACAGCAAAACGTATTTATCAACCAAAAAGTCTCTAAAAGCATATTTCCACTAATGCCATATATGGAAAAATCATGCACATGATGCATATGTAATGCTGCTTCACAGTTTAGACAAAAATGGTTAGCTCATGCATTTAGATTCCTGCATTCATCAACGCAAGCAACCCAATGTAGAGCTAATTTACACAACATCACCTTACAATTCATGCAGGGCTTTGCACAACACACCTGCTGGGTGTGTACACACTACAAAGGTGTCTAGATTCCACCAATAGATCATACTGGGAGGGAACACACTACAGAGGTGTATACTTGTTTGTGGCGTGTTTATAAGGTTAGTAAATCAACCCCTATGGGTACATTTGTTGAAGTATAGGTGTGTGTTTATAAACACTGCCTGAACAAAACAAAAAAAAGTCACACTCTAATTTTTAGTTGCACCGCCTTTATCTTTGATTATGACATGCATTTGCCTGGGCATCATTTCCATAAGGTTATGCAATGTCACAATATTTATTTCTGTCCAGAGCTGCAGTCATTTTTTACCAAAATCTTGTAGTGATGATGGAGGAGTCGGACCACTATGTTAAAGGAGATCTATGAGGTGAGTGATTTCCACTCATCCTCATAGTTAGAGCCGACCTGTGACAAAGAAGCTGTCACAGGTCGGCTCTATTGATCGGGAAGTGAGCAGAAACATGCACGATCGTCTCCGTGCAGTGAGCGGTGACTGTCAGTCACCGCTGCGCCCTCAGGGATTCTCCTACTTCCCACACCAATCCTCCAGCGTTGAGTGGAGGAATGGATGGGGGAGGGGTGGGCACAGCTGGCTTTGCCTCTAGATAGGCAGAGCCAGCTGTCACTCACGCAGCTGGGTGCATCTTGACAGTAATGTCAGGATCTGGCACGGCTGCGGCGCTCACAGTATATCACAGGCAACAGCCCACAATATACTGAGCTATGGGTCATGGGAGGATGCTAGTATATGTCCTCCCTTGACCCTAAAGAGAACTATGGGGAAAAACACTTACCCCAATGTTTTCTTTTAGGTCTTCTCCAGCACATGCCAAAGTTTCAAGCCCAAAGGGGTTAAGGTCTGGACTCTGTGGTGGCCATTCCATGTGTGAAAAACATGGATTCATGTTCACAATTAGAGCCCAAGGAATCCTGGCATTGCCATCTTGGAATATGCCCATGCCATCAGGAAAGAAAAAATAAATTGCTGGAAAAACCTGGTCATTCAGTCTATACAAGTAGGCAGCTGACCTCATTTTTTGGGCACATAACGTTGCTGAACCTAGACCTATTATCCAATGGAAGGCTCTGACCTATTTTTTTTAGATAGATAGATAGATAGATACATAGATAGATAGATAGATAGATAGATAGATAGATAGATAGATAGATAGATAGATAGATTTTTATAATTCTGTATATATACATATTTAATAAACTCAATAAGTTAGAATAACCTACCGAAACTGTGGTGGGCTATGTACACCACTTATTATCTGCTCTCTTGCTGCTTCATGGCGAAAAGTATTACACCTCACCTAAAAAAAAAAGAAACAAAAACAGAAAACTATCTTAATTTAATGTTGCTTCACACATTGACCTACACAAATAAAATGACTTACATGCATCATTAAAAAATAAAACCAGACAGCAAAGATGCCAAATTTAAGCTGGCCATACACTGATAGATTTTCATAAAATGTTCATACAAAGAAATCTCATCAGAACATTCATTAATGCCCTCAGAAATTATGTTGTTGACATGATGTTGTTTGAAATTTGTTTTGATGTTACCATTTTACCATTTCTGAAAAGAAAACCACACTCTGAGAATAACCTTTGAGAACAATGTTCCGTTCCTACTCTTACTTTCGTCACTATGGTGGAAAACAATTGTCGATTTGACCCCAATAACTATTACAAAATCAAAATGGCAAAATTAAAATGGCACTTTCAGATAATCTGACACATGGGGGGTGATTTACTAACCTAAACACACACACGCACCAGGTGCGTGTGCATTTTTACACAGCAAAACTTATTTATCAACCAAATACGAGCAACGTGTCACATTTTCACGCCATTATGGCACGTTTTTATGTATTTACGTGCGTGCACGTCATGTAGCATGCGCCATAGGTTACACACCGCTCTAATAGCGGCATGCAAGTCTCTAAAAGCATATTTCCACTAATGCCATATATGGAAAAATCATGCACATGATGCATATATAATGCTGCTTCACAGTTTAGACAAAAATGGTTAGCTCATGCATTTACATTCCTGCATTCATCAACGCAAGCAACACAACGTAGAGCTAATTTACACAACATCACCTTGCAATTCATGCAGGGCTTTGCACAACACACCTGCTGGGTGTGTACACACTACAAAGGTGTCTAGATTCCACCAATAGATCATGCTGGGAGGGAACACACTACAGAGGTGTATACTTGTTCGTGGCGTGTTTTATAAGGTTAGTAAATCAACCCAATGAACTTTGATTTTCCGATTCAGCAAAGCAGAAAACCCTGTTTTAATATGTTTCTATTTGTTATTCAGAAATGTAGTCTCATGCCCCATCATTTAGATCCTATACCCCAAGATGTATGGATATCATTGGTTAGGAAACCCCTGTTCTAAAGGACCCATTGTATTTCAGTGGTGGGACTAATTTAAGAGTCTTTTCTCAAAGAGAGATCCATTCAAATAGAACATAGGGAAACTAATTTAGTACCATACAAGCAACAGCAAGAGGTGGTCATACTGGGGAAGGCAGTACATGTACTGCTTAATTCCTAATTCAGTACTGGCAGGAAGTCTTACATGAGCATAGCTTAAGAAAAAAAGTTGGTTATTATTAAGATCTAATCCAGGAAGGAGCATTTCTTCTTTTCCATCTCTTTTCTCTGCAATCCATTTTCTGTATGCCTGAAAAATTTAAAAAATAATTTGCAGTTAACAACTCAAGTGTAAATTACTTTGTTCAAAAACATTTTTAGGGAAAAGACAACATGTCTTTGGCTATCACCTGACTGGAATAATTTAACTGGTGTTTATCAGCCTGATGAGCATATCAAAGGCTAAACAGATAATAAAAACATAACATTTAGCATGACTTTCCAGTGAATGTATTTTCAACATTAGATTGACTGTGTCATTTGTCCCAAGACTCAAAATGGTCAAAATTATTTTGGTATATTTATGTTTTGTAAACACTACCAAAGTACTATATGTCCATTACTTAAAGTATATGTCAAGCTTAAAAATATATGTATCTGACTAGTTCCTTTGTAATCTGTTAGATTTACCATCACAAGTGTTCTCTATTTAATAACTTTAAAAAAAAAAATCTTGTCACAAAACGTGCCACTACTTTCTGACTTTAAATACTGCCAGAAAGCTGGATTATTTGTGCAAAGCACCTGATGCAGATTGTGTTGCTTTATGAGATTGCTAACGTGCACTGTCCAGAGTATTGCTGCATGTTGGCTGCAGACTGAACTCCATTGCCCAGAGTACTGTAGATGACAGTGGCTGTTCCTGAACCCATGAGAGAGACTATGATTGTTACAAACACTTCATGGGGGGAACTTGATACGGCAGTTAGACGCCAGCTTGAGGGGGGGGAGGGGTGTCAGACTGAGGGGTAGCGCCTATTGTCTGGCCTTCGAGGGACCAAGCTGGGCCAATGAGTGTGGAGCGAGACCTGATGGCCAACCATGATTATATACTGTGTGTGTATATATATGATATATATGATAGCCCAAGGTACTGTCCAATTGCCCAAAGTGGGATCTCCACCTGGAGATTGAGCACTCCTACAAGGGACTTTGGGTCCCAATGCCAGCCAGCAGTAAGCTGGGTCTACTGGCTCGTGGTATCGCGAGGGATCAATCAAGACTCATACACACAGATTGAAGTACAGTTTCTATGCCAGAGCTGTACTATCCATTACTCTATGAAATACAAAGTTACTTGAATCTTAATGAACCTACGTATTTTATGTTTTATATTTTTTATAGGTTTAGAACATGTGTAGCTATATAGGTACTTATGTACAGTATATGTATGTGAATATGTATACATGTATTGATTGCTGTTGTCAGAGAGCCACCATGTAAAGATATGCTGTACTGAACACTAAGATAATTAAAAAAAGAAATAAAAATAACAATATAAATGTCCATATTTGTTAATTCATATAATGAAATATTTACTGGTATATATTTAGCACATGTTGCATGTTTATTGTATATGTATATTTTTGATGAAACCTGACAAAATAAACATATTTAATCTTTCTTTAAATGTAAATTAGTCATAATAATTTCTCATACCTGAAAAGATTCTCTTATTCCTCCATTATCTGCAATATTTTCTGCTAACGTTTTTGGCCCTTTTACCTTAAAAAAAACAAACAAGATAAGCAATGTTAATTAATAATAGTTCATGCTGTACATTTGTATAAATCACTACAATGTTTTCGAAATCTTGAAACACTGTATATGACAGTGCATATCCTTCCTGTAGATTTTGTAAAGAAAACACCATGTATTGTTTGCAGGAAAGTGGGAAAATGTTCTTAATCTAATATCAGCTACTAGTTGCAGGCTCTTTTACAAGCTCTACTGCCATGTGGGAGAGGTCAGTGAACCCTGACTCTCTTAGAGGGTAAGTTTGGATGGCACTAAAGAAGATGTGCATAAGAAAGGCAGGAAAGAAATTAATTTTTAGACTGTGTCAAAACATCCAATACAGGTAATGCATTGTGGCAGCAGTGTATGTGAGTGATAACTTTTAAATGCATAACACATGCTTGGATCTAGCAAAGGTTATGATACTGGGACATGGCTGGTCAAAGTCTGCAAAACAAAAGCTTACTGAATAAATGCCATAGAGTATTAACATATGAATGGACTTTAGCAAGTGGGAACTAAACTGGCAATACTTCTAAACTGCAAACACACTGTGGTGCCTACAGGATCTTAAGATAATTTTCAAAATAAATCCCCATGCCTTTGTTGGGTCCATATACAGTATTTCAGGAATTGTATGCTAGGCTCTGGTTTCTGTCCGTGTTGGCAAGTACAACTAAAGGCTATATGATAGTCTAAAGAAGTACCAAATTCATTTAGTATGGGATGCACAAGCCTCAATATGTAAACAAACTTCCTTTACCTTCTCTTACTGACCAAATTCATCCATTTGTGTCTTAAATGTTCCCATTCCCAGACTCTGCAGTTTACAGTGGGGGGTTTCAACAACAAAGACAATGTTGTCAATCCACAAAGCAGTAAGCAGGACTATGTGTAGCAAGGTGCTGACTGACAAACTACATGCTTGTGAATCAGCAGTGAAAAATTCTAATATCCATGCCCCCTGCAACATTTTTCATACCCCTGTAATGCAAGTAGGCACAGCCTACATGAGAGTGGGAACTCTGCACCAAATTCAGGAGAAGTGAGCATTGTTGCCACACCATCAAAATAAGCTGCATTAAGTGGATCTCACTGGCAGACTCAACAGGTAACTATTACTTTGTAAAAAGTCTTGGGAGACTAGGAGAAAACTGGAAGAGCAAGTGCTCTTATAATTAAGTGCTGCAACATTTTTAAAAGGAGGATATATATATATATATAACAATCCAATGTTAGAGCATTTAATGTCTCTTGGTGCTTTGACAATGGACTATTGGATGATGAATATATGAGTATAGAGTAGGCTGAAGTATGGGAAAAGGGCAGGGCTTAGTGCTGACATGGTTAGTAGTCAAGGCCAAATATATAGCCTAGGCCTGGAGCACAGGGGCACCCATTTTTACAGACTATTAAACCAGTTATAAGAACCTGTCAAGTACATGAGCTGAGCTGTTGGAGGGACACAGCAGGTCCACCCACTTTAGGTTAAGTGAGGAGGAAAAAGACAGTTATTTTTTATAAAAAATTACTTTATATGTTTTTAACGTCACAGTCATAACCACGCTTATGGGTAGTAAAATATATTTAAGATAAGACATAAATTCTTATACTGCCATTGGTATTTTTTATGCAAATTCTTTGAGGAGAATTTATCAAAACTGTTTTAGACTGCTTTCCAATTTAATCTAAACATGCCTGGGCAAAGTTTATTTAAAAAAATGTTTTTTCTCCTACAGTTTATATTGCAGCTAATTTTCCTCAAAGTGTATGTCTAGGCAAAACTTTTTATTTGTGTAGTAGGGTTTGATCCCATGTTGGGTTTGTATTGCTATTCAGGACGCTATTAAAAAGATTTCCTCTCACTTCCTATTCTGCTGACAACAGGTTCACTAGACAGGAAGTGAGCAACTCACCAATGGCAACACAGACAAGAATAATAATATGTGTTTTTTGTAGAGATGGGGAAGGCTAGAACCCATGTCAACATTTTATTGTGGTCTGCATTCCTGTCGCAGATTTTCCCTTATTTCCTCTCTAGTGAAACCAATCAGTGAAAAAGGAAGCAAGAAAACATCTCTACTGGAGTTCTGAATAGCAGTAACAGAGGTTCTAACCTTTCTGCATTCTATACAGAACTTAAAAAAAATGTTTTGGCTGTACATACATTTTACCATTCAATGTTGTTTTATGTTAGCTTCACCATTCATTTAAATAGGTGCATTCTGTTAGAGGGGCTTTTTTTTAAGACTTACATGCATGCCAGCTTCTTTCCAGTAATAATCATTGTACTGTTCAACAATACATTTTGTTCTCTCTTTGAACCTCTCTTCAGATTCTGTGGTCCACCATGGATGTAAATTCCCATCTTTGTCATACTTGCGACCTATATATTATACATAAATGCATAAATTATTTTTAATAAACAAGACTTAACGTGACATTAAACCCTCAGATTTTTTAACATAAAACAATACTGTAATGTGCGCCTTACTGTAATCCATGGTAGTTTCCCGTCTCTTTGATGCTCTTCCTTTTAAATCTGTATCTGTTCTCATGCTTGGAGAGAACTTAACTTTTCAGCAGACTGCCTTGTCTCAAACGGTGTCTGTGTATATGTTTCTATAGGCTGTAACCTGAGCCAGCACTACAGGAAGAGGCCCTGAGCTGAAAAGGGAAGTTCTCTCCAAGCATGAGAAAAGATACAGATTTAAAAGGAAGAGCATCAAATAGAAGGGAAACAACCATGGATTACAGTAAGGCACACATTACAGTATTGTTTTATGTTAAAAAATCTGAGGGTTTAATGTCACTTTAAAGTACTAAAACCTTTTTTTTTTTTATCATGAACACATCAGTATAGATTGAATTAGAATATTACAATAGATTAATCATCAACAAAGTCCTGAAAAACATTTTAATCTTTTTTCAAACACATCCTCCTGCTTCATTTGTGCAGCTTCCTGAACATCCAGTTAGAAAGCGCAAACTTGTAACCTCATCACTAGTCAACCCTTCCTTCGTAGCATTTGGCCAATGTGAGGGTGCTATCTGAGTCAACATATGCAGGCCAGACTACACACACAAGACAAGCCTCTACTCCTCCTTCAAGGTAAGTGAATGACATCAGCTTCCAAAGCAGCACCTCAGGAGCCACTGTCAATCACTTCCCTTGGAGTAGGAGCAGAGGCGTGTCTTCTGTGTTTCCTACTCTTGGGTCCTGGTGCATGTTGCTGCAGGCAGCATCCTCATTTATGTGTAATGCTATTTTTAGATACACTTTAAATGGTTCTATTTTTATGTTTCTATGATAGCATGCACCTCACAGTTCAGCTCACAGTGATGAACAGATCAAAGTCCGTGGATGCCTTTGAAAAGGCTCATTTAGAACAGCAGAATTGAGGGAAGGAAGGGCTGGAATACCCAACAATAGCGACTTGTTTTCTAGCTAGCAATCCCTGCATGCATCTCCAACTTCACCCACTCTCACAGCAGGCCGAAGCAGCACTATCGCAACAGAGGTTGCTGTGCCTTCTCTGTACCAGATAGTGATTGCAGCTTGGACCAGTGGGGGTTCAGGTGGTACTCCAGTGCTCCCAGTGAATCCATAATAGTAGCCCGGTCAACATGGGTTAGGTTCTTCTTACGTATTGAAAAGATTCCAGTAGCACATGGTAGGCCCTGGGGGCCTAAGCCCTCAGGCCTGGGAGAAGCCCAGGTCTTAGCAGCAGGACTTCAGTCCTAAGAACCGTCCCATTGAGTATGCTCAGTTGTTTTAGTGTAGCCAAACCCAGGCCACTGATGACCAGATCAGCAGTGATTGGCTAACTAACAAAAGTCAAGGCTGAACATGAAGTATCCCTGACACAGACACTGAATTATCAGAAATGGCAGAACCAGCACATGATGATATTCCAAAGAAAATCAAACTTTATTCCACATGCATCTGTACAAAAAACAAACGCTGACGCATTTCTGCCTTACTTGGCCTTAGACATAGCTGTAACTAAGGTCGAATAACACAGAAACGCTTCAGCAGTTGTTTTTAGTAAAGATGCATTTGGAATAAAGTTTGATTTTCTTTGAAAGATCATCGTGTGCTGGTTGGCAGTTTTTGAGACAATCACTCCGGGAGAGGGTTATCCATGCACCAAACTTGGATTGCAAGGATGCATGACAGGGGTGAGCTGTGCGCTTTGTGTTTCTAGACTGAACCAGCACAGTCTGGCAGATGACACAGCATAGACAGCCACTGAGCACATCCTACTGGCGGAAAATAGTAACTGCACATAACCCAAAAAATACACTGTTGATTCATGGAACTCTACATATGCCAAATTTTATGAATGAATGGGATACAATGTAAGTGTTGAATAAAGCAGCATACAATGTAGGTGTTGACATCTGCTGCTGAAAAGTATTAAAACAATGTAGGGTTTATTACTACCTAAAGGCTGAACATTAGGTACACAGCGAAATACACAATTGCAATACATATATGGAAACCATTCTGCTTTGCATTTCTGTCCACCATCCCTGATGGTTATACAACCCTGCAATACAGCAGAGCCACGTTGGTGACTTGACTTTTGTCTACTGCAGTCAGAGTTGCACAACCTGTCAGCTTCTTGCTCCCAGCCTGTGATTGATAGTGAGGGAGCAGAAGCAGACAGATGTGTCATCACCGTGCTTTCTTCTCCTGTCAGCATGTTCCTTTTCAACACAAATGCATGCAGCACACCTGATTGTCTCCTACTATTGTCCTTTCCTCTTCTAATTTGGGTATCACTATACAGAAGATTACAATTGGCTGACAAAAAGTCAAATGCTGGTTCTTATTTGTATGTATGATATGTAATTTTTTATATCTGTTTGGAGCTGAGTTTTAAACAAATTATGATGATGATGATAATAATAATAATAATTAATAATAACAATAATAATAAACATTTTACTTATTTTTCAATTTTAATTGATGTAACCTAGGCATATATACATTCTTATTTATTTATTTTTAAATACAAAAAAGAGATACTTTGTATCAGTTTGTAACACATAGCCGGCTCACAGCTGCACACAACAGTGAGCTGCTGCCAGCTCTGTGGCTGTCCCAGCTCTGCAATCACAGTGATCAGCTATCTCTGTGATCACAGGACTGTGACCACCTAATCTGCTGTTGAGGGTTATGCTCTGACCCTGAGGGACCCATAAACAGCAGTAATTCAATGAGAGATGGTCCCTTCACAGACCAGTGCTCAATGTACCGCATGGCGGGATTATCCTGTCACCAGTCATTAGCGTACTGAACGATCGTGACGGGATTATCCCGTCATCGGTCAGGAAGGAGTTGTATTAAAGCTGTATTAAAAGCCAAAATATATGATGTGGATAATAGTTGCAAAATAATAGGCAAATTAGTGCATTCAAATATGTGCATGCTGGATTTAAAACTGCTCTATGATTTATTGGTTTCCTGAGTGACAAAGTCAGCAGAATTGATGTAGCTTTGGGGCACGTATGTTGTGTGGGTTTTACAAGTATTACTAAAGCTAACTGCCTTTTAGCTTTATAGGCTCTAACAAAGAATTAGGCCCTATGAACACAGACACAAAACAAATCTGTTTCTTACATGACTTAAGGTGTATGTAAACACTAACAGTGAAATTCTCTTATTTTCTTCCTATTGTTCTGTACATATATCACTGAAAGTGTTTGATAAATGCAAAATATAAATACCTGAAATACCAGAAATCTAGTGAGTTCCATACTTTGTATAATATTTTGACTATCCTGCACTAAAATTTCAAACATTATTATCAGCCCTATAAATGCAATAACAGATCCGCGCTCCTAGCCTCCTCTATCTATTATAAAACACTAAGCTGCTGTGCCATGGGTATAACAACCTTTAACATATACTGTTTCCAGATGCACAGTGCTATGAACACATATATTTATATAAAAACAATATGTTAGTGCAGAAACAGACGTTTCTGCGCTAACATATTATTTATATATATTTATACAGTATGTGTTCATAGCCCTGTACATTGTTATCAGCCCTGTTTAGTTCATGTGAACTACAAAAAACTTTTCACGATAAATTAAAGATGAGAAGAGAGGAAGGTTTTCTGAAGTACTAACACACTTCCTCTCCTAGAATGGCAATGCTGCTCCTCCAATGATACAGTAGCGTGAGTGAGCGCTATCACCTTTGGACAGTGAGTTACAGGCAGGATCAGTTAAACATCAAGCAAAAACAAGACTGAAACAAAGAAAACTAATGCAGCCATAACATCTATGGACTGGGAAGCTGCAATATATTACATTTATGTTTTTTGGGTTTAGGTACATTTTACAATCAGAAATAATCCAACAGCACAGAACACTTGCACCCTTTTTCCTGCTGAGGAGTCACTTCAACAGATGCATTTCAAAGCTTGCCCACGAATGAAAAATGTCAGCATCTTCACAAGGCATAAAAAAATGTGAACTCATGGCCCACAATTACTCCAATCGCACCGTAGCTGAGGGATCTGCCAAAGAAGAACATGTAAATACTGTTAAGTACAAAAAAATCTTCAACATCCTCTCTTCTGATGAATAGCTCAGCTTTCCACTGCATCATTTATTTTCTTATCAGGAACCAGCTAGGATTCAGAATTTAATTATTCATTTTCACAATGTTGCCTGGGAATATCACAGATCAAAGATGAAATGGGATCATCGGCTGCCAGTTCTAATCATTTCCCGCTGGGAAAGTTGGCAAACGTCTGACACTGATGCATGCAAATTCAGTTTTCATTATATTTTCAGGTTGGCGGTCAGTTTCCTCTTACCTTCACAGAAAACAGGAATGTTCAAAACTCTAACTATCTTGACAGTTTTGTCACTGTATTCTTTTCACTGTATCACCATTTTATCTGAGAGGTATAAACGAACAACAGTGCATCTTTCCTAGCATAATCACTTACCAGGCTGATTCCAAGATAGATAAGATCTGTTCTCATTCTTTTTCATTGCCAAGACCCACTGCAATTCCCTACAGTTTTAATGGCCTACTCAAACAATGCAGTATTGTGACTCACATGTTGTGAAAGGCTTGTACTCTTTTCCAAGGAGATATAAAATATTGGTGACTAAACAGTTTTCTTTACATTGTCATATGTGATAGGTGATTCTCATACTGGTTGCACTGGTTGCAAATACTGGGCAATGTATGAAAATGTAAATGCATTTATTCATTTAAAGAAACCTTGTCAGTTAAATAAATTCAAATGGTAGATTTCTTCAATAGAAGAGGTTGTATACTCACCTATTATATAAGAGATATAGTAGGGTGGAAAACAATTGCAACCAACAATAACGATGGTATCCCCATTCTCTTTTCAACAGTAATTTAAAAAACTATCTTTTTGAGACTTTAATGGATACCCACAAGATTGCACAATTTTTAATTTCAATAAAAGTCAAGTATAATTTTTTTAATCTTAATCTTTAAAGAAAAGAAACTTCATCCAATTCAGTAATTTTGTGATTGACTTCTTTATTAAATCTAGTTTTTTAATATAAATGTGTTCTGTAATTTCATTTAAAATTGTGAACATTGTACCAATCAAGTTGCCTTATCCCTCGCGTATCCACCCTTCTTCCTCTGCTGAGAAGGTGCAATGGGGTTGATTTACTAAAGGCAAGCAGGCTGTTCAATTTGCAAGGGAATTTGCACTTTGCAGGGGAAGTTTAATGAATGAGGTGACTTCCATCACCCAATCATTTGCAAATAAAATACTGTTTTTCTAATTTTCTTTGCACATGATTTGTTATTCTGTGCAAAGTAACATTTCCCCACATTCACTAAGGTAAGTGAAACCTTCCCCAGTTCAGTGGAAAATACCTTGCAAAGTGAACAGCCCATTTTGAATGTTTATACTGAAGAAACAGTGAAATCTGTGAAACGTGTAGAGAACATGAAACAGTTGCTATGTTCCAGCCATGTATGGATCTGATAATATTTTATTAAAAATGCTTGTATGCTGCTTATTGGTACAACATTTGATTTTTGAAATGGAATTAAAGTGAACAGAATCAAAGTCTTTTTGTGACTGGACAAGAAGAGAGGAGGGGGAAAGTAAACAACACTATCCTGCATTGTATTATAGCTGTAACCATCAGTCACAGCACTGGAAGAGCACTGTGACTAGTTGACTAGAGCACTGTGACTAGCTTGGATTAATCTGTCAAACTACAGTAGTAGTTTGACAGATTAGTAGTTTGACAGTAGCAGTACAAATTACAGCAGAGCTGTAAGGATAGGATACTACGCATTCAAGGAAACTGATTGCAGATGTGCTGTTTCCCAAAACTATTTTTTTTGTTGTAAATTCAGTTTAACCACTTTAAGACTGCCATACATATATAAAATGGTGTCCTGAAGTGGGTATACCAATAACACAGCTGCTGCATACAATCGCTTGTATGCAGCTGCCCCTCCGCCACCAGCCATCCCGGGCATCGGTTTCTCCCTTGCAGGCCTGGGGCCGGCACAGCGGGTGTCTGCACCTTGATCAGAGGGAGCTCAGCATACATCCAGTTGCTGATCTCCCCGCCGATCACTGAAAGGGGAAGCGACGTGTATTTGATCACTTCCGAGTTCAGCCTGTCATTTCTCGGGCTGCTGTTTCTTTGGAGTCATAGGTTACCTTAGGGGTCTAATAGACCCCTGATGTCTCCATAAAGAGGATCTGTCACTGTGCCTGCGCTATCATATAGGGGGATTATTAGCCCTCTATGTGATAACAATAATGTTAAGTTAAAAAAAATTAGTCACAAACATTTTTTTTCCACATATATGAAAAATTAAAAAAACACACAAAAAATCCCCCACGTATACGCACATACAAATTTAAACATGCATCGGGTGCACCTATGTGTGAAAACAACAAGTGCTCTACACATGTTAAATATCACCATGACATCGGAGTGAGAGCAAAAATTCTAGGGCCATCCCTCACTGTTAACTCTAAATTGATGAGCAGTAAGTGCTTTTAAAGCGTCACCATGGGCAATTTTGGGTACTGTAGATTTTTGCCATGTCACGGCGCACACAATTTTAAGGCTTGATGTGTTTGGTATCTATTTACCCAACACCACCCCAAAATGGGTAAATAACAAAAATGGCTATTATATTCTGCTTGTGTGCACTAAAATTCATTTTAGTGTAATTTATTCTAAAATTATTGGTTTGATAAATATTTGTGCAAATATCGTGCAACATAAAAAATTGCAACAACCATTTTTTTTATCGTACAGGGCCTTTGCTGTCACAATATATATAATTGTTTGGGGGTTTTATGAGCAACAAGCTTTACTAAATAAATGAGGTAGAGAAGCTCTAGGTTGGGCTGATTTGAACTAAGGGGGAAGATGGATTACACGCGGGAGGGAAGAGGGTGCTACTAAAAAAAGTGGACAGATAAACAATTGCTTCAGCAATGATGGTCTACCAAAAAACTTGATGGTGATGAATGCTTTACCCCCTTCTTCTTTACCCTACTTGATCAGCATTGGTGTCACATGCTTGAACCCCCAGTCATGGAACTGGCCACCATCTTGAAATCAACAGGTATATGACCATCCACAGTAGAGACGTTCCACTTTACATGTTCAAACTGGCATACTCTTATACTAAATTGATGGATACATTTTATGTTCTTTCTATTTCTCTGAAATGATGCTGAATTTTGCTATGGTTGGGAAATACAAATGGTAGACATTTTAACAAAATGGGGATAAACACTGACATTTGACTTTCCTAAAGCTGTCAAATATATCATTGTGTACTTTAATGGCATTTTCTGCTAGCAATGTAGAATGCCCACGTTGACCTGAGCTGTTTAAAGCAAAGGTTATTATTGTTAATTTTTCATAAGGTCAAAACGAAAGAGGTCAACAATTATTTTAGGTACTTAGAGAAGCCTTTATACTTAATTGGGGAGTTAGAAAATGGAAACATTAGCAACCTGTCTTCATTAAGCCTTTTACAATAAAATAGCTATATATGAAAAATGCTAAAATAAGGGATATTAAACTCTAAAGCTCCCTTTCATAAGAGCAGAAAGGCAAGGCTGTGCACATTTTCAGGAACTATTAGGCAAATAAATTGTACATCTCAGAAAGGGTTTCTAAACAAATATTTTGTAGAAAGGAAAGGTTATTTTACTGAGGCTTAGTGTTTCATCTCTGACTTTTCATGAACTCCTATAAACATTGTGCTATAACTGGCCTTTATCATTTCCCTTTCATATCTGTAAGTCATTTTATTCTATTGCTTTTAGTTTAGTTTTAGTTATTGGAATTTATAGCACATAACAACTAATCCACTGTTTGCAACCAGCTTTTGATCATAAAAATGGACTCAAGTAACCTACCACCATTCCTGCCATATATATAAAAAGATATAAAATGTTGGTGGTTGGTTGCACCTACCCGTGTTCTCTTTTTTTGTGATAAGCTAGTTGAAATCATTTGAAAATTACCATGCATATGTGCGGTATGGTAAACCAAAAAAAGATTTTACAGTCAGATTGTAACATGTGTAGCCAGGTTTGGATTTCCCACAAGGCCACCGAGGCAGGGAGGTGGCAGGGAGTAGAGGGGCAGGACAGCCACAGGCAGGTCGGTTTTTTTCTACATTTAGCCCTGCTTCGGGCAAGCAAGGCTAAATATAGAGTCGGGAAGCTGCACCTTGTTTAGTACAAGTGATCTCGGCGATGCTGCTGAGATCACTTGCAATAAGCCTGCAGGTCCGTCCCCCCCCCACCCCCCTCCATGGTCCGC